AGCTGCCTCTGACACCATTTTCTTTTTGAATTTTCTTTGCTTTCGATGTCTTAGGAAAAAGGCATCATCAAGGCAAGAGTTGGATTTGGTACTAATTATGAGATTATTGCTGGGATGCCACAAACTCCACAAAAAAACCCCTAGCTAAAAAAACTAGTTAAAAGTATAGGACTTTTCAAGTTTGGTGTCTCCATGACAAAACATTGGTACATGGTCAAGCAGCAGCTTCTTTGATTCTGCCATTCCCTGTCAGATTAACTACATCGTGTGTGGTTTATATGGTGGTAGCCTCCACTATTAACACTAATTTTGTCCTTGCTAACAGATGCCGAGATGGTCATTTTGGCACCATCAATTCAACATCACTGAACAAATTCCCAGTCTGTATCTGTCTGTATTAAAATTGGGATTTCCCAGTATTACAGTTGTTTCCTGTGCAAGGGAAACCAGGTAACAACTGCATTTCAAGATCTTTTGGATTCTGTTGTGAAATCAAAATACTGTGCCAATACAAATTTTACTAGTGTGAAATTTGTGAAAATAGTTTCCAAGAAGCTAAATAATTTGTCCTGACTGCCCATGATATCATGCTGCTTTTTGAAAGAGGATATTAGAGTACAGTGACAGTTTAAAGGATTTGGGGTGGGTTTTTTTGGCCTCAGTGGGAAAAAAGGTACCTAGGAAATACCACCTGTGATGATAACAAGAATTTACGAAGGCCACCACTACTCCAACGTAACTAGAAAACCTTCCTCATCAAGATGTGTGTGACATTCACTCGCCAACTAGCTGCAGTATCAGGCATGCAGGCAACATCAACAGGAAGAAGCTCTACAGAGACCAACTATGTTTTCTACTGCACATGTATCTCCAGTTGTATCATCCAAATACTTGCAGTAAATAAAAGGTTAATGGTCTAGAAAAATACCTCTTGCTAGAAAACTTGCATGCAATCTTGCTGACATTTCTATAAATTTACTTAAAATACTCAGTATGTGATTGATCACTTAAGTCTTTTGAAAATCTGGGTTATCTGTCACAGGCAGCAATGGCAAAAAATCCATTTACCAAAACATGGTACTTCTGATGTCTTGGGATTCTCAAAGTATGTAACTGCACTTCTTAGTTGGGTGCTATGGATAGGGAAATCTGGGGGAGGGACGGGTGGACAATGTCATAGAATTTTCACTGTATTCTGATGAATATCAACCTGCATCAAGAATATGTTTTCCCTTCAGAATTTACCAAATGGTACCTCTCAGTGCCACAATCCAATCTGTAGAAATTTTCCGGGCTTATCTGTAACCCTAACAAATCATGATTGCCAGGAGGACAAAGTCAAGTCTGGTATTCCAGTTTAAAGTTTGCTACAATGGAGCCTTGAGAGAGAATCTGAAAAAAGAACAGAACAAAAAGTGGTTTAGTTTCTATCTTAAATGTTTTGCAATACTGTTCAAAAAGAGAACCACAGAAAGGTTGAGGCTGGAAGGCATCTCTGGAAGGCATCTTGTCCAACCTCCCTGCCTAAACCTGGTTGCCCAGGACCATGTCCAGACAGCTTTTGAGTATCTCCAAGGATGGAGACTCCCAACAACTCTGGGCAACCTGTGCCAGTGCTTGGTCACCCTCACAGTAAAAAAGTGTTTCCTAATGTTCAGAGGGGACCGCCTGTGTTTCACTTTGTGCCCATTGCCTCTGGTCCTGCCACTGGGCACCACTGAACAGGGCCTGGCTGCATCCTCTTTGCACCCTCCCTTTAGGTGTTTATGGACATTGATAAGATCCCTCTGATCCTTCCCCTCTCCAGGCAGAACAGTCCCAGCTCTCCCAGCCCTTCCTCATTGGAGAGATGCTCCAGTCCCATCATCATCTCTGTGGTCCTTTTTTGGGCTTTCTCCAGTATGTCCATGTCTCTCTTATCCTGAGGAGCCCAGATCTGGACACAACACTGCAGATGTGGCCTCACCAGTGCTGAGTAAAGGTAGATCATTAGTCATCAATCCCTAGAAAGACATATATGCCACAAGACCTACCTACATTTCTTCATTTACATCAAATTGTCCATTACCAGGTACTACTGTATCTATGAATTTCATCTCAAGTGAAAATCATCACTGGCACACATTCAAAAAAACCTTGTACTGATAGGAAGAACATGGGGAAGAACACAGCCATCTACCGCAATTCCCCCTCTATAGATCTCTGCTTCCCACGGCACAGAAGATGGTGAAATTCCCAGTAAAGTGAGAAATAATTCTACCATCATTATTTGAAATCAAGTCCAAGTGTGACACAGCAGAACACTTATAATTACACCAAATATGTCAGTACAAAGTACAGCCAGGTACAAATGGCAGTGCACAATTACCATTCACTAAAGCATCCCTACCAAAATGATGCAATATCCCATAAAGATTTACCACTGCAGGGGTTCTCTGCTGACTCTGTTTTCATCTGTAAGTTCTTACCCAGTTTTAACATCAAGCATGTAAGAACAATCCTAGTAACAAAGTCCACTCCAAAAGCAGAAGTCATGGGAAAGTCACAGCATGTGACCCAATATGCAAAATCACTACCAGATGCTGCTTTCCTTTCAACCAGCAATCCCATGACAGGAAACTTCTGCTTCATCACCCCTCCCCACACCAAGCTCAAAAGCTAGTATTGCATGTATTCCATGGTTTCGACAATGGTAAGTGCTTCTAGTTTCAAAAACATTAGGTTTGATTGACTTGCTTGTGATTTTTACCATCAATACCATATCTCATCCCGCTGAATAATTTCAATGAAGAGAAGCACACTCGGGCTTCTTCCATAACAGATAATAAAGATTAGTTTTCAATTGTTAGAAATATTTTGAACAAGGAAAAAGAAAACCACTTCAAGGATCTTAATATAAAGAAAGACTTTGGATATTGAAAAAATAACATTTAAACAAAGTTCCTTTATGCACTGTAATAAACTGCTCTTCAAAGGCATACTGTAAGAAATGCTGTCATACTATTTTTCTAGTATTTCTGGATACATCTGAAACAGATCCGAATGAGATCACCTCAGGTATTTAGGAACTTAAGTTTCCAGTTTAAGTATTAGAATGAGTATTTCCATCTTACAGTTCTGGTTTTGGTTCTTCTGGCAACATTGAAAACAATCAACATTTTCTGTAACCCACCTTATAACCAAACTTCAAGCACACATATATATTCATTACCATTCATTTGGCTCTACGTCTAGAAGAAAAATGTGGGTTGCCTGCAAATTATGAATTCTGTCAAATTCAGGAGCACTCACTGTAGAGTCCTTTGCCATCATTTGAAATCCAACAGTGAAATCCTTCACATTAAATAGCTTTCATCTAGTGTGCTGAAACTCCAGGAGGCAAATAACATCTTGTGTCACAGAAAGCAACCAACAACATCACAGTCCACAGTTGGCCACTGAAATATTGGATGAAACATTTTCCCTAGAAGAGCAGGGAAAAAACAAATCCAAACCTACACCTTACTTCAGTACATGTGTTTAGAATAGCTTCACTTTTGAAAACGCCCCAAATGAAAACGTATCCCCAAACTCTACAGTAGAAGTAGATCACAAATAAGAAGAGCAGGCTGAAATTGAGGTTATCCAGGAGAAAAAACATCCAGGAAGGCCAGCTACGGCATACATTGCTAAGAGGAACAGTTGCATCAACAAGTTGCAAACTCGAATCATGATGAAGAGACCACACAAATACAGGCAACTTCATACCATCTTTCCTTTAAGTATCTCACAAGAATCCAGGGATGGAAGCTATTTACCAATGACTGGAATGCTCATATTCAGCGTTCTCATTTTAAGCCCTAATTCAGAAAATGAATTACCACTTTCTTTCTAAATCATGCAACACTCCCAATGTAAGCCCAAATTAAATTTATATATGATATTCTTCACATTGGGTTTTTTAGGAAGGAAAATAACTGAAGGCTTATAGAAAACTTCCCAAGTATCCATAATGTAGCTTCAACATCACTATGTCAAAAATATATGGAACCAAGAAAGGGATAAAGAAGTAAATGTGCAAAATTTATTCTGTTCTTCAATGAACACAGGGACATATAATATATAAAATTAGATCACATCTTCAAAATTAAAAAACCAAAATATATAAACACCAACAGTTTCTTGTTACAATAAACAACAGCCCACATGAAGCTCAATACCAGTTTACTCTAAATCAATTTCTTCATACAAAACAAGCTACTTCTAAAAATTACTTCAGAAGAAAGTGGTATGCAAACTAAAGCATTATTGCAGCATGACCTTGTATTTTTTCCAAAGGAAAGCCTGTTGGCAAAATGAGACTAAGCTGGAAGAGCTCTGAATGGCAAATGTCCTCACCATTCTGTTAAAAGGCATTTTCTAAACTCGGCTTCGGTCCTTCACTTTGGCACCTCACTGAGGCTACTCGGGCTCCCTGCATCTCTTGTTCTGGACCAGCTGAACCAAAAAGCACTGCCCCTGAGGGGGCTGGAAGAGAACGTCAGAAAAGTTCCTAAAATTGTATCAGGCATCAATTTTCTTCTGCCTGTGTAAACATCATAAGATTCAATACTGGAATTTAAGGCTTCTGTCACAGTACACGCTGGCATGTAAAACAAATCTCCAGGATAGCGAGAAACTCCTCTTGTGAAACAGAGTAAGCTTTTGCTGAGGTTACGAGGTTCAAATATACCAAGTGTGCAGATCTGCTCCTCTTTATGCATACAGTATTCTTTTTCTCACATGATGAAGACTCAGTCAAAATGCTGCAAGGTATGAGGAGTCACCTGTGCTCTAATGGAACTTCAGTCAGCTTGCAGCAGAGACGGCATGTAACTTTCCACTAACAAAGTGCAGATATGGAAACCTGAAGACAAGGAGCCCAAAATGACACTCCTCCTTAGGCTGCTACTGTCATAATTAAAAGGTTTTACATGTTTACTATGCTGCCAGTCCCATTATGGGTTTTAATTTCTCAGATGTTACACTGTTTCCTTTTCTAACATTTCTTCTGATACTTTGCTTCCTGAAGCATTGTCATCATTAGAATAATTTCCTGAGTCTTGATTTCTCTGTTTAGAATGTTTGTTATCTTTGGAAACAATTTGATTTGCTTCTTCTGTGATGATAGTCTCAATTACAGAACAATTTTCTATTGGTTCTTCTGCAGTTAACGGATAAGGACTGCTTAAGAGCTGTCCTCCAAAACCCTGCAAAAAGAGAAGCAGAAAAAGAGATGAACACTCATACGTAATACCTAAATAATGATTCCGCTTAACACCACAGCTGTACAAATCTGGTTTATCATGTTCAGTAGCACCATGAGGTTTTCTACCTAAAGTACCATTTGTTTCCCTAAGTTCACAAACTCAGGGTGAAGTTTAGTTGCATTCATACAACCGAACACTAAAGCATGACTAACATTAATCTTAACTCTTCCACTATGCCTGTAATTGTCTAATCATCTATATAACTGCAGTATTTCATTGACTATAGCCTTATGAGGCCACACAAAAACTAAAGAAAAATCCTAATTTAGACGACTTTCAAAGATCATGTGGTAGCATGGGAATGAGGTGTGTGCTTGCAAAGTCTACAAATCATTACCAGTTATAAAGCAAAATTTGAAACAAGGAAGAGGAAGTGAGCTGCTGCAGCAGAACACCAAGACTTACAAAGCTCTCAACAGTGCACTCCTGCCTATCCTATGTGCTTTAAATCTATTCTCTGAAGTGGTCATTTATATCAAACCCATCACAAAAGTTTCCAATTATGCACTGCAATTATTATGTTTACCAGTAATGCATTAATTATGTAACCCTTCTACTAAACAAACCAGCTAAAACGCTGCCTTACAAATAACTTAAATTCAGATTTGCTCTTGTGAACTACAAGACTGGTTTTAAATTACCGCTTTATTCAGCAAGCTTTGCATGCTACCTATCCTAGGAGCTTCAGTGGGATGATGACATGATGACCTATGTAGGAAGGTCAAACACTGCTCAACATTAGTGTTCAGAGACTCACAGAAGAAAGCACAGTGAAAAGCAGTTCTTGCTACATTTCAAAATACACCAACACTTACATGTTGCCCTGTTCATTTCAGAACAGGATCCCTACCAAGTATTACCTGTGCTAAACTCAGCTGGAAATTGGTCAACATCTGCCTTTTTAGAGACCAGTCAGGCTGGTAGGTCAGGACATTGTAGGAGTATTTGCTGCCTGCTACACTAAAATTTCCTCTAAAGACTGGGCTTGCATTTTCACCTCCTCTGAGTTTTAAAGGCTGGCAAAAAGGCTAGAGCATGCTCTTCCAGCTATCACAACTGGAAAGCACTTCTGGTCGCACCCAGGAGGGTGAGAAGTACAGTAGCACATTGGGGAGACATGCACACACTCTGGCATGGAGGCTTGCTAACAACTCTTTCGCACAGATAGAAGAAAAACCATAGAAGTTAAAACATTTGCTAATCACGGTATTCTAGAAATTGATACTACCCACTTTTTCCATAGGAATACCTGCACTCTCTTAAAACCTATACAATTAAATCTTGGCATACCCGTAAGACCACAGGATAACAGATAAAGACTTTTTAATAATATTTTGCATGAATTTTTCAAAAAATACATGTGCTTAACAAATGAGAAAAATAGGTCTCATCTTACCTCTATATTCAAAGGAGGTTGGCATGATGGAAAGAACACGTATTTGATTTTACTGTAGGCTTGATACAGGGCAAAACCAAGTGGCACAGCCACAAGAAAGACAGCAATCAGGGCAGTTACAAATGTTGCTAAAATGATGAGAGGCAAAATTTTATCTAAAAAAAGTGAATAAAACCCATTCAGTCTAGGTATTTGTGAACTACAAACATTACTAGAAAACACATTATCTCCAAATCTGCTACAGTACATTTCACATTTCTACAGTACTATAACCAGCCATGATGATCATTACACAAACTATGCCATTCCAATATCTGAAAGTTATTAATAAGACAACACAAAATACTTATTCATTATAAGAACACAGGCATTTGCAGACAAGATCATCCAGTTATATGTCACTACTTGACAGCAGGACAAAAAAGCTGCACACAGCTATCATGAAGCACTTGATGCATATAAATCTACTGTGCTATTGCTTGCACGCAGGGTTTAACTCCAAGGCACATCATATGGAAACAATAGAACTCTCTCCTTTAACAAGACAGAGATACAAGAATAAGAATTCCCACAGGCTTTGGAGTACGAATGGGAAATACTACAGCAAAGTTGGCCCATGGTTATTTAGCCAAGAAATTCTTAGAGTGCCTGGACTTGCAGGGCCTTCAGGGGCCCCAAAGCATCCAAATGGTTTCTTGGACAAGACAGGAACTCCAACTGTAAGCTTCAGGTGACTATGACATAGCCAAGAGAGATACAAAAAAAGGATCTTCCCGTGAGTGTCTATTCCTTTTAGATGTTTACCTAAGAAGAAATCAATCCTAAGGCTATTCCAATTATTTTCTACACTGGTAATCTAGACACCAGCTCAGCACATTTTACTTTATCAGTATAGAAAGGCAAGATGAATTTCACTTCAATGCCCAAACATGGTGTCACCAACTTGGTGACGCCAAGCTGAGTGGTGCAGTTGAATAGCTTGAGGGAAGGGACACCATCCAGACAGACCCTGATGGGCTTGAGGAGTGGGCCCATGTGAATCTCAAGTTCAGCAAGGACACGTGCAAGGTCCTGCACGTGGGTTGGGGGAGTAAGTGGATTGAAAGCAGTCTTGCCGGGGACTTCGGGGTACTGGTGGATGAAAAATTGGACATGACCTGGCAATGTGCGCTTGCAGCCCTGAAAGCCAACTGTGTCATGGGTTGCATAAAAACAAGTGATGGGGAGGTGATTCTCCCCATCTACTCCACTCTGTGATACCCCACCTGGAGTACTGCATTCAGCTCTGGGGCCCCCAGCACAGGACAGACATGGACCTGTTAAAGCAGGTCCAAAGGAGGGCCACAGAAATGGTCAGAGGGTTGTAACACCTCTCCAAGCAAGAAAGGCCGGGAGAGTTGGGGTTGTTCAGCCTTGAGAAGAGAAAGCTCCAGGAAAACCTTATTGTGGCCTTTCAACATTTAAAAGGGGCTTATAAGAAAGATGGAGAGAGACTTTGTACCACAGGCTGTAATGGTTGCACAAAGGGCAATTAAACCAAAGAAGGGTAGGTTTAGATTGGACATAAGCAATAAATTCTTTATGAACAGCGTGGTGAGATGCTGGCACAGGTTGTCCACAGAAGCTGTGGCTGCCCCATCCCTGGCAGTGTTCAGGGCCAGGCTGGATAGGGCTTTGAGCGACCTGTCTAGTGGGAGGTGTCCCTGCCCATGGCAGGGGGGTTGGAACTGGTTGAGCTTTAAGGTCCCTTCCAACCCAAACCATTCTGTGGGTATTTAGTAATTTTTCTAGCATTACAGGTGCTAATAAAGATAACTGGCCAAATTAAATTCAACAGATAACTGTCTCTCATGTTCCAAGTGAGTGTAATCCATCTGCAAATGTATTCCCATTTTGCAAAAGGTAAGCTTTCAATTATAATGAGTCTGATGATTTGTCTCTTCACACTTTAGCACAGGAGGTTTTTTGAATATAATTAATTCACAGCAGAATTGAGACAATTTCAAGAAAAAAATATTCTTGAAAACAGCATTTAGTGATTCCTCACACCCTCCTAAAATATATTGAAAGCACTGGAAATTAAAGCTTGCCTATTAACAAAGAATTGTACAGAAATAAGTTTAATTCATAATCATTACAGTTATTAACCTGAAATAATTTCTAAACTGAGTAGTGTTGTGGAATAACCAGAATGTAATTGTGATCGGATCAGAACAGAAGCAGTTTAGCTGTAGGAGAGAAAACAGAGCAGCAAAGTGGCAGGACAGCTGATTCGGATCTCTGCCCAACTAGGTGCCAACTTTGTGAGGCCATCAATTCGTGCTGAAAAGGTTTTTTAATTAGTGAGAATTGCAAATGCCTATAAAAGGTTAACAATTTTCCTTCCAGAGGTGTAACAATTCCCAAGCTCTTCCTACCTCCAGGTGTTTTGATGCATTCCTCTTTGCTGAAATGACTGCTTTTGTTATAAGCTTCTGAAAATGCCTGTACTTTTACACAGTACAAAGTCGAGGGTGTTAGATCAGAGATTGACCCTATTGTCTGTTTTATCTCTTTCACTTTGATTTCCTCCTGAAAAAGAAAAAAAATGGAAGAATAAGATGCACATAAATAGTACAAGAGTCACTCAAATAGATTAGAATTTTGGCCTCTGCTGAAGAAGTAATTCTGTAAGGTCAGACACCGCTCTGCACTTGGATTAAATAAAAGAAACCACACAACTCTCTCCTAAGCAAGCACATTCAGGAAACATCGGCAAGAACCAACTACTTTCACCATACTGAAATTTTACAGTTCAAAGTGGTGTCCAAAACAAAACTTCTTCCTCTTGCAATTTGTTTTCTTCTCTTTTTCCATGCATTTCCATATACACATTTACTGATTACTGTGAAATATTTTACTGTAAGTAGCATTTAAAGAATATGGAAAGATTCATTAAAACGTGAGCTAAAAGCATGCACGACTTCATTGTTATATGATACATACAGCTATGTATCATATAGCTAAACTACAAATACAGAAAGAAAAGAATTTGAGAGGCTGGAAGCTACATTAATTAAGACAGTGCACGCAGTTATATGGCAAGAAAGACAGCATCACAAGAACCCTACAACTTCCATTCTAAAGTGAGCTATTTAGCAGTTTGTACAAAGCTCAGTGCAATTCTGCAAATCATTACACCTAGCCACATCACCAGAAGCAGATTAAAATCTCAATTACTTTGTAATAAAAGTCATCTTGACCAGATTTTTAGAAGAACCTTTCAGCAAAGCAAAACAAATCGATTGCATGATTGATAAACCATATAAATGCCTCTGTGAAAGTAAGTTTCTCGAGGAGTACTCAAGTCATATTTAAGTCATAACAAATTTTATCTACTGTTTTAAGTAGTTCATACCTCATTATTTGATGAATTCTTCCAGTACAGAACCCGGTAAGACAAATCATAATGGTCCCTCATGACTTCGCTCTCAGACGCTCCTGGAGGAGAAATCTGGATATGGAGCAAAGCATTACTGATGTCCAGCTTTACACCAGGAGGGCCAATTTCATCTTAAGATGTTTAAAAAAGGAAAAAAGTTAAAAATAAGACTGAAAGAATAATAAAGAAAATATTGCATAAAATACTGTAATTTAAATCTGTGTCAATTTTTATGAATACGTACTTCAAAGTCTAACTTGACTAACAGGTTTATTCAGAATCTCGAGTACTGAGAAATATTTCAGTTATTTTCTCTTTCCACATTCATATATTGCAAGTTTCAGTGACATGAAATACACAGGCCATGGGATCAGTTCTGTGCATGCCAAAGTGAAACGACTCATCAGGATATGGACCCTCTTTTTCACATATACCCTCTTTCACAGTTACAGTACAGTTGAAAAGCGAGAAGCATGACAGTTTTGTTTTCTCTTGATGCATTATTTACCTAGGTTCTGTTATCTTACTAAAGAATAATCCAATTACCAAGACCTTGGAGTAGGG